TGAAGAGAAGAACCTGGAGAAGAGACTGAGGGAGGAAGGAAGCAGCATGGAGAGCCAGAAGGAGACCTGGAGGAGAGAGACGTGAAGAAACTGCACTTGCCTTTTGGTCATGGACTGGGTGACACAGAAATGGGTGAGACTCCTAGGGAGGTGACAATGGCGGCTTTTATCTTGATTTTGATTTTGCTTTTTTCCTCCCAGACTTGTCTGGTTGTTTCTGATCTTTTCTTTTGGGTCCTGGCCAGAAGGTGCTTTAGACTGGGCATTGTAATGCAACCATCCCATACCCTGTAGGTTCATCATCAGTTCAAGCAGCTATGTTGGTGTTTTCATGTTCTCCGCCCTTTCCACCACACTCCACCACACTCCTCCGTTCTTGGCACCATGCCACAACACATCATGTACTCCGCACCATGCTACACCATGCTGCGCCATGCCATCCTCCACCCCATGGCTGAGTGTGCATACATGGCGGGAGGGCGGAAAAGCCTGATGCTTTTCCCTTTTACTTACCCCATAGGCAAGCTTCCAGGCCTTGCTCTGGGCTAATCCTGCTTGCGTGGACTTTTACCCACAAAGGGACAGGTAACTGTGGGTGCTTGCTTTAAAAACTATATTCTTTGTCTTCTCTGTATTGTTCCCTAATTGCATTAAAAGATCCTTTCCATTAAAAGTCTTATATGTTTTGTGTTGATTCAGTGGATGGCAGAACCTATATAGAGCAGGCAGGTTTGGGGGCTCTGGGGGGCCCCTCTCCCTGCCCTGTAACAAAATGATGTCCATCTGATCAATGACTGCTTCCTGGTGAAAGTGGGCGACGTGGGGAGGCAGTCAGGGCTCCACTTCAGGGCAATGATCTAAGGGACCTCAGAAGAACAGTGGAGGTTTCACAGTGGGTTCCATTGAAGGACCATATGGAGTTTGATGGCCTCCAGGCAAGAGATGATCCTGATGAGGGCATTGAGGATGCAGGTCCCAAGCAAGAGAAAAATGAAGAAAAAGTTTTATTTTTAATTTTTTAAAGATTTATTATTTATGCATACCAGAGCTGGGGTACAGGCCAGAGGTGCAGGGGTGGGGGTGGTGAGAGGATTCACCAGAGACAAAGTGGGGAACAGAACAGCCAGATTGACGGGAAGTACACTGCTGACTGGAGCAGCGGGCAAGTCAGGGGAGGTCTGCTGCGCCTTGTGGGTAGCTCCCTGGCCTACCGGGGGTGGAACTCATGCTGCAGAGGCTGCGGATGGCTTCATAGGTTGTGTCTTACCCCCTTGCACCACCAGGGAGGCCCTGAAAAAAAAGTTTTAGTAAGGGAATGAAAAAGGGGAACAGCCAGGGCAGGAATTGGGTTTTTTAAGGATTTAAGAGTAAGGAGGGCACAGACTCATGAGTAAGCCCTGAACTCCAGGTGTTACATAACCACTGAGACTAGGGACTTCAAGGAGCATTGTTGGACTTTGGCTTGAGGGTTATTGTGGTTCCATCAGGAAGACAGGAGTTTTCTTTAATTGCACCCTGAGAGGGGTGGCAAAAATACCTCATCCTGGAACTGTAGTGTCCTAAATGCCTGGAGGTGCTGTGGCAGCATCAGTGAGAATTAGGGCTTCCGTATTATTTCTATATTGGGTAGCAGCATCTGGGAGAGCCAATAGTGGCTGCCGAGGCTGTTAATTTGGAATTTAGTTACCAGGTCCTGTCTTAATAGAGGAAGCTAGGAAAGCAAGACTAAAAACCTATAAACATGTGGCCTCCTAGCGAGCAAGGAAGCCATGCTGTGCAGTGTCCTGGCTCAGGCTGGCCATCAGTACTAGTGAGGGGGACAATCGAACAGTAGGTCAGTCCAAGGAATTGGAGCAGCAAGGCAGAGTAAGTAGCCCCTTATTTACCAAAACGGCGATCTTTTTGTCTGCCATTTCTAGGGTCATTCAAGGCTTATCCATAGAAACAGTAAACAGAGGAGACTGGCTCACCTCTGGGCTTCTTCAGAGAAGGTCTCCTGCAGCAGGTTCTTCACAGTCAGAGCCAACTGGCAGTCAAGTCTGTCCTCCCAACCTGGCCTGTGGGTTGGGCTGGCCCCTCTCTCTCTGGAGAGTAGAACAGTCTTTCTTTCAGTGCCCTGTGCAATGGCACTGAGAGCATAACCCTGGGGGCAGTTTACTTCCCCTGAGGTGTCCCAGTTGCTGGCAGTAGAAACAAACTGGCAGCCCATTAAGAGGTTGAGGCCCTGGTTGCCCTGGGGCGCATGGAGCCTTGGGTGAGTCTGAGGTGGCAGGGCACTGACAATGGCAACTGCCATATACTGCCATATACTGGGCTCTTCTCTTTTCTTTCTCCCTCTCTTTTTTAGTCTAGTGAGTCCCCTCCATGTCACTGTACCTTGAAGGCCATGTCCAAAAGGATTAAAAGGATCTTAGGTCCGGGCCTCCACGGTGGCGCAGCGGTTGAGCGCTGGGTTGCGAAGCTGCCCGCGGCCTCTGCGACGCCGGTTCGATCCCCGGCTGCTCCCCGGCCACCAGAGGAGGGTCCCACATGGCGTGCAGACCTCTCCTGCCTCCCGCTGCTCCCCTCAGCAGTGTACTTTGGTCCTTCTGCCTGCTCTTCTCCCCGCTCTGGCTCTGGTGAATTCTCTCACACTCCCGCGCTTCTGACTGTACCCAGTGCATGTATAACCAACCAAACAAACAAAGAAACAAATAAATAAAACATGCCTCTATAAAAAATAAATAAATAAATAAATAAAAAGGATCTTAGGTCCTTGGTTTAGTCTCTGGAGCCTGCACCTTATGTCAGAGCAAGGCAGGCTAAGGAAGGAGACCGCTAAAATGCTTGTCCTTTTCTGGGTCTAGATTAGTGTACCTTTTTATAGCCTCAGCAAATTTAACCTGAAATGATGGGAAATTTTGGGGCTTTTCAGTATAACTTTTCTGGCTTATTAGGTTTAAGAAGTCTTTTAGAATAATCTCATTAGTTTACATTTATGTTGAACAGGTGTAACAATCCTATGGGAATACTTCCCATGAGGTATCAATATACCCAAATTGACTCAGTTGTTTGTTTTTCACAATGAAAAACAATTTTATCTTTTTTTTTTAAGATTTTATTTATTCATGCATACAAGAACTGGGGTACAGGTCAAATGTGTGGGAGGGTAAGAGGTTTCACCAGAGACAGAGCGGGGAACAGAACAGGCAGACTGAAATACACTGCTGAGGGGAGCAGCAGGTGAGACAGGAGAGGTCTGCCACGCCAGGTGGGTATCTGATCTGCCGGCTGGGGTCAAACCCACACTACAGAGGCTGCTGACAGCTTCACAGTGCTGTGCTCTACCACCTGAGCCACCAGGGAGGCCCTTATCAGGTGTCTTAAGAGTCCTCTTAAGACAAAATCTTTACTATTTCAGAATGAAATTGTCATAGAACAAACTTACAGATCTTAAAAAAACAATTACACAGAGTAACAAGGATTTTTTTTTTTAAAGATTTATTTTTTATTTATGCAAGAACCAGGGTACAGGCCAGATGTGCGGGAGGGTGAGAAGATTCACCAGAGACAAAGCAGGGAACAGAACAGGCAGACTGAGGAAATACACTGCTGAGGGGAGCAGCGGGTAAGACAGGAGAGGTCTGCTCGCCATGTGGGTTGTTCTGAGGCCGGCGGGGATTGAACCGGCACTGCAGAGGCTGCAGACAGCTTCACAGCACTGTGCTCAACCACCTGTGCCACCAGGGAGGCCTGTAACAAGGATTTTTAAGAGTAAATCTATTTCTTTGACAAGGCTCAGCAATGCTGACATGATAAGGATTTTTTTCTTGTAACCTGAGGATGAAAGAGCACGAGGATTTTTAGATTACCTGAATAGTCTTTAATTTGTTACAAGAAACAAGTGAAGGGCCTCCCCTGGTGGCACAGGCAGTTAAGCGCTGTGCTGTGAAGCTGTCAGCAGCCTCTGCAGCACTGGTTCAATCCCAGTCAACCAGCAAGGGTCCCACATGGCCCAGCAGACCTCTTCTATCTTGCCCGCTGCTCCCCTCAGCAGTGTATTTCATCAGTCTGCCTGTTCTGTTCCCCTTTCTGTCTCTGGTGAATCCTCTCACCCTTCCATGCATCTGGTCTATACCCTGGTTCTTGTATAAAATAAATAAATAAATAAATCTTTAAAAAAAAAAAAAAACACAGACTAGTGAAGCAGTTTTAGAATACCTTAATTTTTATATATAAAAAGGACTAAAGATTGGTGTTACATAGGTGCACTCCTGATATTTATGTTAACTAAAATATTTTATAGTAAATCATTTGAGCACACAAATTTTTTTTTACTAAAATCCCTCTCTCAGGCCTTCATCACTTCTTTTGCTTTCTTACTTTTTAATACCATTTCACTTTAAAGATACCCATCTTACTTTAAATTATTTTAAGGACCTTTAGAATATCCATTTTCAATACATTCCTACTTCTTTTTAAAGATCTACTTCTTTTTAAACACACACATATATTCCGGAGTTTTGTACCTGTAACCCATATATATATATATGGGTTTCAAGCATATATATATATATGCTTGAAAAATCAAAGTTATCTGGATAAATATAATAAAAACAAATAACTATGAAGATAAATCAGGCATGGACTCTGTTCGGAGGAGAGTGTGGTCACAGGAATGTGCTGAGAATGGAAGGGCTCTTTGACTTGTTTTAGTTTATGTTTGACACATCCATTTAGGCAAGTTTTTAATATCCTTTTTTATATCAAGGAGGTTTCCAGAAATATAGAAGCTAGAATCTTTACATAGAACAAAAAAGTATCCAAATTTAACCCTTAGTAAAAACCTAGGGTCTAAGACCACAACAATTTTAAAGTCAAGCAGTCTGTACTTTCTTGGATAAGAAAACATTTTGAGTTTGTATCTCCAAGTAATTATTCTTTGGCTTTATATTGTTTCTGCTCTGTCTCACTGAGACCAAGCACATTTTTAAGACAAAAGACATTTGTTGTTTCAGGAACCATGTATGGGAAATGTAACATGGTGGTGCCTAGGAAAATGGAAGGTTCCAGGTTTCCTGTCCCACCCAAGGGAGTGTGGAGCTGAGTAGGTGGAGAAGAAGCTGGAGAGGAGACCGAGGAAGGAAGGAAGCAAGATGGAGCCAGAAGGAGACCTGGAGGATGCACATGCAGCAGAGAGACATGTGGAGAAACTGCGCTTGCCTTTTGGTCGTGGATAAGGTGACACAGATGTGGGTGAGAGACCTGTGGGGAGGTGACGATGGCGGTTTTTGTCTTGATTTTGATTTTGCTCTTTTCCTCCCAGACTTGTCTGGTTGATTCTGATCCTTCTCTGAGGGTCCCCACCAGAAGGTGCTTTAGACTTTTGGCAGGCTTTAGGGCCTTCCTCTGGGCCAATCCCGTTTGGGTGGACTTTTACCCATGAAGGGAAGGGTAAACCAATCACACGTTTGGGTGCTTGATTTAGAAACTATATTCTTTGTCTTTTCTGTATTTTTTCCCTAATCGTGTTAAAGTTCCTTCCCATTAAGTGTTTTCTATGTTTTGTGTTGATGGGGCAGATGGCAGAACCTATTTAGGACAGGTAGGTTTGGGGGTTCTGGGGTGTCTCTCTCCCTGCCCTGTATCAGAAGGACAGGAGAAGAGGTAGATTAAGTAGATTAAGATTTTATTTTACAATTTGTCTGTTTTTCAACTCTTTTAAAAAAGAAGATTTATTTATGCATACAAGAACTGGGGTATAGGCCAGAGATGTGGGGGATGAGAGGATTCACCAGAGACAGAGTGGGGAACAGAACAGGCAGACTGACTGAAATACACTGCTGAGAGAAGTAACAGGTGAGTCAGGAGAGGGCTGCTGCTCCATGTGGGTATCTTCCTGGCTGGGGATCAAACTTGTGCTGCAGTGGCTGCAGTAAACCTCACAGGTCGCCTTTAACCCAATGTGCCACCAGGGAAGCCCTGTTTTTAGACTCTTATTAGAAATCTGAGGTTTGTAATTTAGCTCAAAGAAAGTTGTGTTTGTATTTTATAGTTTTTACCATATTAATTAGTCTTAATAAGAAACTAAACTTTTACAGGCCCAATAAGCAATTTAGAAGTTTTTACTCAACCAAGAAGCACCTTATATAGCTTGTTAGCAAGTCCCAAGTAACTCAGTTTTTACCTTAAACAATCTAGACCTCAAGATTAGGAAAACACAGGGAAATAGAATTTTTTCCCAAAGAATGAACCAAAACAGTATCTCAAGGTGGACAAAGGGAGAGTCCAGTTTAGCTGGAGAGGAGTGTTACAGCTCAGGATGCTGGGCTAGATGTTTTGTGCTGGGGCCAGGCAGTGTTTAAAGAAACACTAAGTTCTCTTTTTTTAGAGCCTGGGCCAAATTGGGCTCGTTTTTAAGAATGCGGCTCAAGGGCATGTCCCATAGAATTGAGATAGAGCATTTTATGATTTCTGCAGTACTGAAAGAAAAGTACCCACAAGAATGGCAGAGAGATGAAGCAGGGGCATCCCTGCAGCTAAGTTAGAGGCCCTCCCGTAAGACCAGGACCATGTACCGTGGCCTCTTGACTGGCTATGTCGAGACTCAAGTCTAAGTGACTTACTAAGTAAGAGAAACAACAGGTGCAGTCCGAGAAGGCTGCACCTGAAAAGTGGTCTGAACTCTAGGATGCAGGAGAGAGGTGCACCCTTTTTCAAGACAGACGAGGAAGCTCCCATCCACAACAGGAAGGCGGGTGTCCAACAACAACCTCTATCTACAGGAGGCGTTCCTCCTCTTAACCTTGAGCTCCAGCTGTGAGTGATGAACAGTCTCCTCGCTCACGAGGGTCTATTGGACTTAATCACTCCCTTATCAGCGTGACCTGAACACAATGTATGGGGGACTATCTGCCTCCCACTGAGCAGAAGGTGAAGGGGTTCCAGACTTTGTGGGACCCTACCAGTGACCCTGACCCTGTCGTTCTGCAAAGGGCAGCCATTCCAAGAGTCTAGCAAGCTTATAGTAGCCACTCTCCTCATCTGACGAAAGAGACCCTGAACATACCTGAAAAGTAGAGACTCAACACAAGCTACAGACTAGGTCCTGGGACCTAATTTCCAATGATGCCCATTTACCAGACAACAAAAGTGATTTTCAGAGTCATAGCCCTTAAACCAGCAGGAGCACAGGGCCTGATATTTACTTGCTTAAACTCCCTTTGGGAAACTGCCATGAGACACATTTACTATACCAAAGGTGTAATCAATGAGCAGGACCTAGAATTTGAGGCAAACCTGTACATACATCCCTGACGTAATAGGAAGCTCAGCTTCTGTCTGTGTCTACTGGCAGGGTCATAGCAGACACCAGGGGAAAGGCTCCCGGGGGTGTCCCAAGAATTTTATAAGAACATTTTTACCTTATGACTTAAAAGTTATCTTACTAGAAAATGAAAAAAATTTGCCCTATAGGGGAGGGCCAAGAAGGTAAAAGTCCCTTTTTAGATAATCAGGCCTCCATGACTCTCGCCTGGTGCCGGCCTAGCAGAACGCCTTGTCTTGCACCACTGGATCTCCTGGATGTCCAGGGGCCCCAGGGCATGCCCATGTTCATGGACACCTGGCCCAGGCAGCAGGGGCACCTGTGGAAGTGTGGGCAGCTGTGCCGAGAGGCCAGGGATAAAGGGCAGAGTCACGCTGAGGCAAGATGACAGCTATGAGCGACCTCTCTGGGGTGAGACAACATGAGACGGACTCCAGAGACAGGACACAGAGAAACACTGGGAGAGGAAGATGGCCCGTCCGTGATGCAGCATTAAAGGCCTGTGTACATCTACTAAAGCCTCCAAAATTATCTTTTCCTTGGTGAGAACCAACAATGAACTTGCCGGCCTGGGCTGGTTGCAAAACACTGACTCAGTCAGAGCAGCCTTAGGAAACATGCTCGGTTTTACTTACTGTGGTGTCAGGATGGGATCCTGGGACAGAACAAGGAAAAACTAATGACACACAAATGAAGCATGGAGTTTATGAATAACAAATCAATATTGCCTCACTAGCTGTGCAGTAAGGTAGTGATATAAGATGTTAACAACAGGGGAAATTTGTGTGGGAACGTCAGGAACTCTGTGCCAATTTTACAAGTTTTCCATAAATTGCAAACAATCCGAAAATGATAACGTTTATTGAAAAGAATAACCCTAATGAACGTGGACTGTTCTAGATCCTATGAAAACAACTGTTGAGGTTTCTTAAAACAATAAAAATAATATACCATATAATCCAGCAATTCCACGCTTTTGGTATGATCCAGGGAACACAAAAACACATCCTAGGGGTGAAAAGTTTAGAGTTGATTCCCTGGGGAAGGAGCTTCAACCCTGGAGTCAGCAGAGAAACAAGAGACTCTGGGTCAAGATCTCATCCCAGGACACTGAGGAGACCTGGTATGTTTGTGGGGCCCCCCTGGTCCTGGGACCCAGCTGTTATGGCCTGGAGACCTGCTCCTCCCTAAAACAAAATCTATGGTTATTAGTGGAGAGGGATCATCACGTCAACACGTATTTGAGGAAACAGGTCAGACACAACCTGAAGCTGTATGTGGCTCCCCCTCCTGTGCACAGCCCTGTCCCTCTGGGAGCTCTAGGAGAACCTGGGGAGACCTAAGGGTTCTCGCCCTCTGCCCTCAGCCCCGTGGCCACACGGGGCTGCGGCGCTGTCCTAGTCTGGCAGCCAGGGGAGAGGCTGGGTGTGTGTGCCTCAGGCTGAGAGGGTGAGCTGGGGCTGAGCATCAGTGGGGGAGGGGGTGAGATGCCCTGTGAGCAGCCCTGGCACCAGGCTGGGGTGGGGGGAGTGAAGGAGAGGAGAGGAGGCTCTGGAGCTGCCCCGTGTCTGAGGTGCCTTCTTCTCTCCCCACAGACTCTCTGCAGCCCCTTGATGACAACCCCCTGGAGACCGCAAAGCAGATGCTTTTCCCTTCGGCTCCCTGTGCCTTTCCCGAGGGCTATTTTAATTTTTTTAACTGAAGCAACACTGATTTACAGTACTGTGAGTGATTTAGGGGAATAATCTCACATCTCTTCGGATCTGTGTTACCAAAGCAGGTAATTTTCTCTTCCACTCCCTGTCCCTTTGCTGAGGGCTGTTTTTCAAATCGCAGTCACGGTGATTTACAATTCATTTCATGTAGGGAACAGGCTCCCATCTCTTCAGAGGTAGTGACCACACCACCCCCTCCCCCCCAGCACCCAGAGTCCCTCCCCAGATCCACTGTGCCCCCCACACTCTCTCTCCCCCTCCCTCCTGGACAGAGAGGCAGGGACCTGCTGTCTGGGTCCCTCAGGCCTCGCTCCTGCCACCTCCTGCAATGACAGTAAAGGTTTGTGGTTCTACTTTCTATTTCCTTGGCATATCCTTTCACCCTTTCACTTTTAACCTGTATTTGTTTGTATAGAAAGTCTTTCTAGCACGCATAGAATACAAATCTCCTTGATATTATCCAATCTGGGAATCACAGGGTTTTGATTGAGATTTAGTTATTTTTTTTTTTTCAGTATAATAACAACTTTATTGAAGACGGGCGGTGGGAGCTTGGTCCAGCTGGAAGCTGCTCTGGCCGCAGGTTTGGGCACCGGGGGCTCTACTCGGTGGTGCTTGGTCCTGGGAGCGGGGGCGGGAAGAAGCCCCGAAGGAACAGCGCGCCCCTGGCACCTGGATCACTAGGAGGCTGAGGCCGGCAGCGAAGGTCCCTGAGCCCAATGGCATCGCGCGCCCTCCTGGCCGGGTCTGGACTCAGCCCAGACCCAAACCTCTCAGGTCACTAAGCTGCTCGCCCAGGGGGCCGCCTCTCAGAGTGCCCGCAGTGCCTTATTTATTTATTTGTTATTATTATTTTATTTTATATATTTTTTAACATCATTTTTCATTGTTGCACAATGTATGCATTTCAATCTTGGTTATATTCCCACCCCCCTTATTTGGACCCTAATCCCTCCTCCCATTCCTCCCCCCAACACACTCCCCCCCGTGTCTCTGATTTATAGTTGCTTGTTGATTTTGATTTTTACTTTATTATAATTAGTCTTTTTCCTGCTTCCTTATTTAGATTTTCTAAATTCCTGCTATGAGTGAGCCCATCCGGCATTTGATATGGTTAGATTTGAGTCTGTCCTTTTGATGTTTATTTTTTCATTGTCTCACATCTTTTTCATTCCATTTCATCATTTTCTACCTTTCTTTGATTCAAGCAAATATTTTTCTGTGAAATTAATTCTTCATGTGCTTTAGATATATTTATTTCAGTACTTTTTATTGTTGTAAATACTTAAATCTATCTTTCATTTTTCAAAATCTACTTAATTGAACTACGTTCCATAACATATAGGAAATTTACAGCACTAGAGTTTTATTTAACCACCTTGATGTTATTAATGTAATATATATATTAAACCAAAATAAACATAAGCCAAATAAAAGTATAAAACAAAAAATGTAAACAGTCATATCTGTTCAATAAGTTAAGACAAGCATCAAAAAAAGAGTATTCTGCGTGTCTCTGTTGCTAGTTATTGCTCTAATGTGTGAATTATCATCTACTGTCACTTCCCGAGGCCTGGAAGAAATCCTTTAACATTCCTTGGGACTGAACTCCTAGCAATGAATTATCTTTTTAATTAACTCTAGTGTATTTACTTTGTCTTCTTTCTCCCTGCTTTTATTTCTTAAGATCTTTACATGAAACAAAATTTACCAATTTTAGATGGACAGTTAGGTAAATATAAATAATAGAATAAATAGACAGATAAATAAATATTCTAAATAAATAGAATCCTGGAACTACCATAGAGCACAGACAGCACAGCCCCCTCATCCTAAAATGTCTCCTGCACCTTTATATTTGTTTTTTTAAATTTATTTATTTATATATTTTACATTGGTCTTCATTTTTATACAATGTTTGATTTCTGCTCTCAGGTGTTGTCCCCATGAAAGTGCCTCCACCAGGACACCCTGGAACATCACCACAGACTCTGCTGCTCTTCCCTCCCATTTTGATCCCTTTCCCTCCCTCTCCCCAGATGAATGTCTCCAATGTATAGTTTACTGCTACTTTTGTCGTTTTCCCCCAATCCCTTGTATGGTTTCCTTATGTTTCTCCTCTAAGTGAAACCACCCAATATTTTTCCTTTTCCTTCTGACTTATTTCACTGAGCATAATCCCTTCCAGCTCCATCTATGTTACTGTAAATGGCATCTTTATCTTTTTTGATTGCTAAGTAGTATTCCCTTGTGTATATATAGCACATCTTCTTGATCCAGACATCTGGTTTTGGGCATTCAGTTTGTTTCCATATTTTATCCCTTGTCAATAGCTGCACCTTTATATTTGATCCTCTCTCCATACCCCAGCCAGGCAACCGTGTCTCCTTTCTATCTGTACGCTGTAGTTTCTCACTCTATTAGATTTTATCATCATGAGGGAGTTCTCTATTTCTGCCAATGAATTCTATTATGAAATCTTTTATGGCTGATTTTAATAGAACCACTCCAATCTCCTTGTGATGTCTATCTTCATAGCTTATCTTTTTTCCATCAATTTACCTTCAATGTGTCTTTATATTGAAACTTCATCTCTTGTAAGCAATATATAGTTCATGTCTACAGTACTGTAAGTTTAAGCTTAATCCTCTTATCACCTGTGTGAGGCAAACAACCAAGACTATATTAGTCCCATTTTACAACATTCCCATATTTAGCATGACACAGATCTAGGACCCAAGCCCAGGGCTTCCACACTCATAACTTCTTTCTCCAAGACTTCTTTTGTTGTTGTCTAAGATTTATTTATTTATGGGCCTCCGTGGTGGTGCAAGGGGTTAAGACATGACCTATGAAGCTGTCCACAGCCTCTGCAGCACAAGTTCAATCCCCGGCCAGGGAGCTACCCACATGGCACAGCAGACCTCTCCTGACTCGACTGCTGCTCCCCTCAGCAGTTTATTTCAGTTAATCTGCCTGTTCTGTACCCTACTCTGTCTCTGGTGCATCCTCTCACCCTCCACACCTCTGGCCTCTGCCCCAGTGGTGGTTCCAGCTTGGGGCCTCACATTATGCAATCACAATGTTACACTGAAGAAAAGGCTTGGTGGACATGGAAGGATCTATATAGAGGCTCATGCACGTGGCTGCTGGAAAAAAGCTTCAGTTCCTCCCCATGTGAGCATCTCCTTATCTAAGTGCCCACACAGCGCGGCAAATGTCTTCCCCCCAGAGAGGAGCAGGAGAGATCAAGCAGGAGATCCTGATGCCTTTTGAGCCTCACTGTGAATTGGTGCAGGCACCCCAGCCTCCTCCATGAGCAGGGAGCCAGCAAATCCAGGGACTCGCAGGAGGGGAATTGGTCTTGACCTCTTGAGTGTATTAAAAAAACCTGTGGACATTCGAAAAACTTCTACCCTGCATCATCTGGCCACTAAATATTTATATCCTTTTGTCAAAGAAAGAAAATCATGCCATTACCTTGTAGAGAGTAGTCAGGCTTTAGTCAAACAAGCACCAAGGAGAAAGCAGATTTAATTCTAAATACATGAAAGATATAAGATTTAACACATCTGGACTCTTTTATTTTTCTGGGGGTTCCTTTTTTTCCCCACTGAAGTTGGACATTTTCCAGAACCAGGCGAAATCTGCCCCTGCGGTGTGCAAAGCTGGGCCCCTGCTCTGTTGCTTCAGTCTCCACTTGCTGCATTTTCATGCTGGGTCTTGAAGGGTTTGACTTGTCTCCATGTGATTCAATGGTCAACCAAGGTTTTGGAGAGTGTCTACCCAGATGTTGGCATTCACTCACTTGTTGGTTACCTTGTACCTGGTGTATCCAAATGCTGCCACCAAATCTGATGTTTGATTCCTCAAGTCAGTAAGATTTTTGTTGGCTCTCTGAGCTTGTGTGGATTGGGGAAGTCATCAGTCATAGGTGCAGACTCACAGATTGCACCAGGATGAGTCTGTCACTCAAGGGTAGAACACCCTCTAAGTTCTTTCTGGTTTTCCGACATTTTCTCTTGAGTGTCCCACACCTCAGCACAGTTCAGTCATCAGCCATGGATTTGACAGAGTTTGTATTCAGATTTGGGCTCTTACCTCTCCATCTGTTGTTAAAATACATGTTAATCAAACTATTTGGACATGCCATATTTTAAGGATATACCAAAAACCCATGTAGAAAAATCCATGATTTCCACATGAGGGTAATTTTATTGTACATTATATTTTATTATACTATTTTATTATACAACAAAGTATTGGGGGGCAAATACTGAAAGCTAAGAACATTCTAGATATGCACCGTCAATATGGTAGCTACTAGCCACATATGGGCATTTTAATTTTAAATGATATATAGTAAAATATGCAACATCTCAGCTCATGAGCCACATTTCAAGTGTTCAATAGTTAGAGGATGCCGGGGACCAGCCTCAGCAAAATGTCATGTCAGGGGTTCCTGAAAGGATGAGATGGCCTAGGCGACCTGTTAGGGGCTAAAGGGAAGGGGATTAGGTAGTGAGGAGACACTGACACTGGATGAGGTGCAAGTATCTTCTGCCGAGAGACTCAGCAGGTCTTTATTTATTCATTTTTAGTAATCAAAAAAGTTACATCATCATGTGCAAAGCAGAAACAATTAGTGTATTATATTCCCATGGTCTCCTGGCTCCTATGGGTCTCAGCTAGATGGTAGCCTTCAAGGTTAATAGATAAAAAACTAAACCTAACAGTAAAACTTATTATTTCAGCTAGACAATTACCTAAGACAGTTGATAGCCACCAGTACACCCCTATCAGCTAAAGCCTAAGCATCAAAAGACTCTTCTATTCATATGGCCTTCAGCCGGAGACCAGCTGCTACTCAGCTATCAGAACTTTTTCTACCTACAAACTTCTTAACACAGTTAACTTTATTTAAAAATTTATCTAAGAAACTTCTAAATAAAAAGGAACGTCTAAAAAAGCAAAAGAAGAATTTACTATAATAGTTGTGCTGGTTTGCTTGTCAGATACATGCAATAAATTGTCTCCCATTGTCAAGTGGGCCAAATTGTTTAATAACTAATTTCTAAACAGATAATTTTCCATGCCATTTATTTGCAGTATACTGATGCATATAATTTATTGCCTAATGTACTTTTTGAGAAATTTTGTCTCTCTTTATGACCAAGAACAAAAATGAAGGAATGTTACATCTTCAGCCCCATGGTGTGAGGCTCTTCAGCTTCGGGGTGAGGCCCTTTGACTTAGCTGCTTGCCAGTGTCTTATCTGGCTGGGGCATCAAGGCCCCCTGCAGCAATTTTTATTTTTATCTCTTAACAATTTTAGCCAAGTCCAGGCTGGAAATTTGGGTTGGATTTTGGAATGGTCTCATAATTGGGAGCCGATGCCTTTGCAAAGAGGTCAGTATTGGCTCTAGAATTAACTTTTGGCTTTTGAAAATCAATGTTATCATCCGAAGAATCCTGATCACTTTCTCCAATACTGCCGGCCAGTTTCTCTTTTACTTTTGCATTTCTCACTTTGCCTCCAGCCTGGCTAAAGTGATCTGTTTTTTCAGGCAATAGTTTTGTTAATACCGAGCTGTTAGCCAAGGACTCTTTGATGTCCTCTAAGGATAAAGAAATACCAGGTGCAGGCAGCGGTAATTCTCTGAATTTTTTAATTATTTTTCTAATTCAGACCCTTGATCTAGCATATCCTGTAGCAGCCCCCACAGTGAAAAGGCATCTACGGGGACCTTTTCAGGTCCATGGAGAGTATAACAGGTTGTTATTTCCTCTCTCACTCTGGCCCAAGTTCTTACATCCAGAGTACCGTCCCTTGGAAACCAAGGACAACACATTTCAACAAAATTTAGGAAACTAGCCAATTGCGCATGAGGGGTCTTAAGGCCTCTCTTAAGAAATATACTTAATTATATCAATAAAGAGGCCTCTTTCCCTTGACTCAATATGGCCCAATGGCTTCTCAACGATAAGACACCCACTCACCTTATCACGTACTAAGACATCCACTAGCCTTATTACGGTTCTGAACTACTGCTCCCCAACCCTGCTTTCTCTACAGAGGAGTATGCTCCCTACCCTATGGAGCAGAACCTAGCCTTCCCCGCACGGGAAAGAAATCTTACCTTTCAAGTCCCTGCTTTGGGCACCACTTGCCAGGGACCAGCCTCCGGCAAAATGTCGTGTCAGGGGTTCCTGAAAGGATGAGACGGCCTAGGCGACAATTTAGGGGCTGAAGGGAAGGGGATTAAGGAGACACTGATACTGGATGGGGTGCAAGTATATTCTGCCGAGAGACTCAGCAGGTCTTTATTCATTTTTAGCAAGCAGAAAAAATACATCGTTATGTGCAAAGCAGAAACTATTAATGTATTTTATTCCCATGGACTACTGGCTCCTACGGGTCTCAACCAGACGGTAGCCTTTAAGGTTAATAGATAAAAAACGAAACCTAACACTAAAACTTATTATTTCAGCTAGACAATTACCTAAGACAGTGGACAGCCGCCAGTACACCCCTATCAGCTAAAGTCTAAGCATCAAAAGACTCTTCTATTCATATGGCCTTCAGCTGGAGACCAGATGCTACTCAGCTATCAGAACTTTTTCTACCTACAAACTCCTTAACACAGTTAACTTCATTTAAAAACTTTCCTACGAGGGCCTCCCCGGTGGCGCAATGGTTGAGCGCTGGGTTGCGAAGCTGCCCGCAGCCATGCGCAGACCTCTCCTGCAGCCCGCTGCTCCCCTCTGCCTGCTCTGATCCCCGCTCTGGCTCTGGTGAATTCTCTCACCCTCCCACGCTTCTGACTGTACCCAGTGCTTGTATAAATAAATAAACAAACAAACAAACACACAAACAAATAAACAAATAAATAAATAAATCTTCAAAAAAAAAAAAGAGTATAAAAACTTTCCTAAGAAACCTCTTTTTTTTTTTATAGAGGCATGTTTTATTTATTTATTTGTTTGTTTGTTTGTGTTTTTTTTAATAGTTTTAAAATGTATTTTATGACTACATTTTATTCATTATGTATTCATTATGAGGAAATTGAGACTCAAAGGGCTAGGAAAATTGTTCAAGTCAGTAATGATAGTGATAACTTTACTTTTTTCATGTTTTAATTTTATGTATTTTTTTTAATTAATAAATTTTATTTTTATATTCCTCATACAATTGCAATCCCCCCATTCTGACCCCAATCCCTCCCCTCCCGCCCCCCACCCCTCAAAAAGTGTCTCTGGTTCATAGTTTTTGTTGATTTTGATTTTCACTTTCTTATAGTTATTCATTTTCCTGGTCTCTTATTTAAGTATTCTAGATTCCTGCTATGAGTGAGACCATCCGGTATTTTTCTTTTTCTTTTTGGCTTATTTCACTGAGCATGATCCCTTCCAGCGCCATCCATGTTGCTGCAAATTGCATGTGTTTATCTTTTTTGAATGCTGAGTAATATTCCATGGTGTATATGTACCACATTTTCTTAATCCAGTCATCTATTTTTGGGCATTTGGGTTGTTTCCATAGCTTAGCTATTGTAAATAGTGCTGCTATAAACATAGGGGTGCAGGTGTTCTTTGGAACTGATGTTTCTGTGTTCTTTGGGTAAATACCTAGGAGTGGAATTGCTGGATCCTGTGGAAGCTCTATGTTTAGTAGGTCCAGAAATCTCCACACAGCTCTCCATAGTGGTTGGACCAGTTTGCACTCCCACCAGCAGTGCAGGAGAGTTCCTTTTTCTCCACACCCTCGCCAACATTTGTTGTTGCTAGTTTTTTTTAATATGTGCCATTCTCACTGGTGTAAGATGGTATCTCATGGTAGTTTTGATTTGCATTTCCCTGATTGCAAGTGATGTTTGTTTGTTTTTTTGTTTATACATGCACTGGGTACAGTCAGAAGTGCGGGAGGGTGAGAGAATTCACCAGAGCCAGAGCGGGGAGCAAAGCAGACAGAAAGACCGAAGCACACTGCTGAGGGGAGCAGCGGGCGGCAGGAGAGGTCTGCGCGCCATGTGGGACCCTCCTCAGGTGGCCGGGGAGCAGCCGGGGATCGAACCGGCGCCGCAGAGTCGCCGGCAGCTTTGCAACCCAGCGCTCAACTGCTGCGCCACCAGGGAGGCCCAGAAACCTCTTAAAAAAAAGAAAACTTCTAAAAAAGCAAAAGAAGGATTTACTATAATTGTTGTGCTGGATTGCTTGTCAGATATATACAATAAATTGTCTCCCATTGTCAAGTGGGCCGAATTGTTTAGTAACTAATTTCTAAACAGACAATTTTCTGTGCCGTTTATTTGCAGTATACTGATGCATATAATTTATTGCCTAATGTACTTTTTGGGAAGTTTTGTCTCTCTTTATGACCAAGAACAAAAAATAAAGGGATGTTAGATCTTCAGCCCCACTGTGTGAGGTCCTTTGACTTGCCAGTGTATTGTCTGGCTGGGGCAACAAGTCTTCCTGCATTGATCCCAGTGTAATCAACACTGTATCTATTTAACATGTAGTTAGTTGAAAGGTTTGGCGCGGTAAAGAAAAGGAGAGTCAGGCTAAATTTCTCTAAGGAAGGGAAAATTTATTGCGCCCTGGGCGGACCTCAGGGAGCCAAGGTGGGGGTCTGTGAAGCCGCGCACGTTGTCAGGGGGAAGAAGGCTTATATAGGGTGAGGAGAGGTCATGTGGGAGACTGGGTTTGTAGGACACGGAAAGGATTTGTAGGGCGGGGGAGGTTCATTATCTGAATCCTCTAGGCAGGCTTCCACATTCCTGTTCCCAGGTGGGCTTCCTGGTGGGTTTTAGCATTCAGGCCTCCTGCATGGACCTTTCATACCAGCCTTTTGTTGACAGGAAAAAGGGCGAAGTTTCTTTCTTTGGCTATTTTCTGCTGGAAGGGGGTGAAGACCAAGGGGGTGGCTCAGGCCTGGTTATGAGGGTCTTCTGCAGGGCTGCGAGAATATGGGTGGAGAAGGAGTTGGTTAAAGGTGGTAGGACACATTTCCCGAATGCGAGCCTGTGAATTTTAGGAGGCAAGGAGCGAAAAGAAAAAACAAGGTTATTATTAATATTGGCCCCAAGAGTTGGAGGAGCCATGACACTATAGGATTTTGAAACCATGTCAGCGGAGAGTTGGAGCCCCCGCTTTCCCTTTCCACGTCTTTGCGTAGTTTCATTAAGACTTTTACATTTTGTTCTACAATCCCTGACTCACTGATATAGTAACAACATTCTTCCCTGAGAAACAGGCAGGTGCCCCCCCCATCAGATGTTAACAGATCCAGAGCCCGCCGGTTTTGGAGAGCGGCCTGTGCCAGGGAGGGGAGCTGTCTTTGTGATGATGCTAAAGACACAGAGGCTTTTTCTAAGGAGGTGTCTATCCTTTAACTGAAATGTTAGAAGTGCAGGAATGAAAGCCGACAAGGGCATCAGTTTGCTAGCAGGGGCAGCTGTGATTGGAGTCCCATAGGGGGACTGAGAGTTGGGGAGTCTGGCAAGAAGCATTCCGTTATCTTGGTCATAGTGGTGTTGAGATTAATTGGAGCTGCCACCAGTAGAGACCTCTGAAGGGAAGCACAGAGGAAACAAGAGGAGGTATTAGTCCCAAAAGAGTTATTTAGGAAGGTTATAACATTTTGGATTATAGAACCCAGGTTGAGGGTGTCTCAGTCTTTTCTGATGATGTTAGCTGATTTTGTAGGACTTGCTCTGAATGGAGGATGTCCTGGGAGATGTACTGTGGCATTTTGTGTCGGGACATATTCCCTTGAAATGGGACAATGTTGCCACTGGGTAGGAATGCCAGCCAGTGTACCCTGTGGCTTGGACTCCCTGTACCCAATGTTGGTCTCAAGGATCTGAAATAGCATAATTAACTTGATTCGTATTGAAACCCATATTATGATGGACCGGAGAGAACATTCGGCCTTTGTCTGGAAGGTGCACTGTACATGACGGGTAAGGGCACCCCCCATATTCTTGGTAGTTATTTTTGCAGTGATTTAAGGTTTGATGGTAAAAGAAACAAAACAAGGTGTTCATAGGGTTAGTAATCAATGAAAGAGTTAGGATGAGAGTGATGGGTGCTATGCATCCGGCCTGTGGGCACTCCGAAGTACCCTCCAAGTAGGTATTCTCAGTGGATCCTGAGACAAAGGTCTCCCTAACTTTGAATTTCCACACACAGACTCTGAGCTAGGGGAGATTTTGACAAGAAATGCGCATCCTAGTAGGACCCAGGTTACGACATGCATACTGTTTGTCTTCGGGGGCACGTTTGACCCGAGAGAGATGGTGCCAGGAGGGGTGTCCCAGAAGTGTTAACTGCTGTAGGTGAGGGGAGAATGACTGTGTGTGGACTGGTCCATGGAGGCTGCAGTGGCTTTGGCTGAAGTGATTTGAGCAGGACTTGGTCTCCCGGATGCAGTGGTGGTGACGGTCAGTTGAGAAGGTCGAGATTCAAGGCAGGACTGACTAAGTACCGGTCTGAGTGATCCCAGAGCAGCTGCTGTAATGAGCTCTAATGAGAGTTTAGTCAGGTAATCCTTGATTAGCCCATTGGTGCGCTCCACTTTCCCTGAGGATTGTGGGTGGTGGGGAATGTGAAGCTTCCAGGTGATACCCAGAGCCACGGAGACCTGCTGAGTAATCTTTGAGATAAAAGCTGGACCATTGTGAGATTGGAGAGAGGTGGGGAGGCCAAAGCGTGGGATAATGTGGTTAAGAAGGGCCTCGGTTACCACCTGAGCCATTTCTCTAGCTGCAGGAAGACCTCGACCCAACCTGTCACTGTATCAACCATTGTTAGCAGATATTTAACCTTTTTGTGAGTAGGGAGGTGAGTAAAATCAACCTGCCAATCCTGTCCGGGTAAGTGTCCACGCAGCTGGTGAGCTGCAAGGCTGCTAAAAGCTTAAGTATAAGTTTAGCATTCATGATGGGTGACCCCTTGGTGGAGAGGAACCCTCTTTCCTGCAAAATCGCAGCATGACTGTGAGCCATAAGGAAGGCATATTTTGAACCCGTATAGATGTTGACTTTCTTATGGTTGCTGAGGGTAAGGGTCCTGGTTAAATGCTATGAGTTCTGCCTTTTGGAAGGTGGTTTCTCTGGGCAGCTTTCCTGCCTCAAGCACCTGATCGACGGTAACAATGGCCTCGGCAGCCCTCCCTGACCTCACGCATTTACGCAAGAGCCACCAGTCTACACACACAGTAGGCATCTGACAAAGGGGAGTCAGTTAAACCCAGTCTGGAGGTTTGCATTTTTTCCCCCCAGGATTTCAGGACATGAATGGGTGACGGAAGAGGGGCCAGAGACAGGTAGAAGAGTGGCTGGGTTGAGAGAATTAGACTGAATAAGACTCGCCAGAGGGTTTTTGATAAAGGGCACATGGAAGTCCTGTGAGCGGGCAGGAGTGAGAGTGGAGAGCGGGCGGGGAGACAGGAGGGCCTGAAGGCAGTGCGAGGAATGTGCTTGGACAGGTCTTCCCAGAGTAAGTTTGAGGGGTTCCCGGGTGAGTAGAGCTGCCGCCACCAGGGCTCTAAGCAGGGTTGCCAGCCCCTGACGGTGGGATCCATCTGCTTGGAGAGATAAGCGACAGGACGCAGGGCTGGGCCCAGAGGCCGGGAAAGGCCGCCTGCCGCCATACTCCGATGTTCGTCTGTGCACAGGAGGAAAGGCTTTTCTGGATGAAGAAGGCCAAGGGCAGGTGCCCTAAGGAGGATATGTGTGAGTAAAAGGAAGGCCCTGCGGACCTCCCCGGGGGATTGGAGACGTCCTTTGGGCGAGGCTTTTGCTGTGTCGTACAGTGGCTTGGCTAGGGAAGCAAAATTAGGGATCCAAGATGGAAGAATCCGACTGAACCTAGGAAGGAAAGAATTTGTTCTGCCGATTCAGGGGAGGGAAGATCCCAGATGGCCTGTGTGCGGTCCACCGTCAGCTGTTTGGAGGAAGGAGTTGGTTGAAGACCCAGATAGACGGCTGTGGGAACTGAAAGTTGGGCTTTGGATGGGGAGACACGGTTTCCTTTGGAGCACAGGAAGGTGAGGAGTTGTGCAGTGTGTTGCTGAGAACGTGGCGGAAAAGGTCTGCAGAGGAGGAGGCCAGCAACATCCTGGAGGAGAGTGCTGGGTGGTGTATTACATGAGGAGAGATCACTAGCTAATGCCTGACCAAACAAGTGAGGGCTGTCCCGGAACCCCTGAGGCAGGACTGTCCAGGCCAGTTGCTGGGAGGTGTGTGTGTCCGGATCTTCCCAAGTAAAAGCAAATAGAAAATAACATTGAGGATCCAGAGGGATGGTAAAAAAAGGGCACTTTTGAGGTCAAGTACAGAGAAGCGTGTGGTAGAAGATGGTACATGAGATAGAAGGGTGTAGGGGTTGGCACTATGGGATGGATAGGCACCACCACCTCGTTAATGAGGTGAAGGTCTCCCACTGGGCAGTAAGAACCATCAGGCTTTTTTAACGGGGAGGATGGGAGTATTACAGGGCGGGTTGATAGGAGTAAGAACTCCCTTTCCCAGGAGTCGTTGGATGATGGTTTGAGACCCTGACAGTGAGTGAGGGAGATTGGAAACGGGGGGTGAGAGGGAAAAGAGGGATCCTTAAGGCAAATGAGGACTGGGGTACAATGGGTGGCAACAATCAGGATAGACATATTGCAGACCAGGGGGTTGACAGTGGAGGAGACAGCGGGGAGTCCTGAGGAGGATCAGGAGATGTTTGGAGCAGTGGGAGGATGAGAGCAGCGCTAGGGTGTTGGAACCATGAGCAGCTCCGAGTTTGGTCAGGAGGTCGCGACCCAGGAGTGGTGTGGGGCAAGAAGGCATGACTAGGAAAGAGTGGACCAGTGGTCCTGGGCTGAGAAGGAAGGTTGTCAGCACCCGTAACCGGGACCTGAGAAGGATAAACTTGACCAGATTAGGAGGGGAGGACAGAGAAGGTAGCCTCCGTGTCAACCAGAAAGGAGATGGACTCACCTGCTACCTTGACCGGTACCCTGGGCTCCTCGAAGTTTATCGGAGTCGATGAGTCCGGGCCTCTTCAGTCCTCAGCCGCCAAACCCAAGACCGCCGGTGGAAGTGTACCCGGGGCTGGAGGGACTGGCCCACCACTGCCAGGTGTGGAGGTGATACCGGAATTGTCAGGCCTAGTCTCCCAGCCAGGAACGGATCCCAGGCTGCAGGGCAGCTCTGAGCCCCAGCCACTAGACCCCCACGGGTTGGTGTCTCACGAAGCCGCAGCAGGAACTTCGCAGACGCTCAGGCAAGCAAGCGAGAAGAGGCAGCTTTGTTTAGAGAAAGAAAAAGTTTATTGAGGAGAAAAAGAGCAGAAATAAAGTGGGACTCCCAGGCCAGGGAACCAGGCCTGGGAGGGGCAAGGAAGCCAAAGTGGAGTCGTGTCTCAGGGAATATATACCCTCCTTCCCTCATTATTCTAAAGCTCTACCAGTCTCTTTGTGATTGGTTAGTTCTCGACTGTCTCACTTAATTTGCTACTGAGTGGGGATCCTCACCTTCCTTATCTAACAGCTTTCTCTTTCCCCATTTGTTGCATCTTTAAATTTATGGCCCAGTCTTCTGGATGGGCATCCCTGCATTGAAGTTAAACAGCTGCCCTTCTAATGTGTCCATAAATTAAACCATTTTCCATTTCTCCAATTGTTAGGGGGGAAAGGATGTCCCAAAGCTAATTCCATATAGGCTTTGTGGACTCCACCCCCACCCCAGGTCAAAGCCAAAGACACTGGGAACTCCAAATCCCATCATCACCAAAGGGAAGGTGGCTGGGACCTGAGGGTGGGGTTAAGCAGCCAGGTGGATATAAAAGGCAGACACGTGGGCTTTGGGGATCCCCCATTTTGGCTCTCCACCAGCTCACAGCGTCAGGCCAGCTCTGAGAGTGACTTTGGGTTTCCAGGTCGTCGGATCGGGTAGGACGCATTAAAGACTTTATTTCCCTATTTTTTCCCTGAGTTGTACATTTTCCTTATTTCCTTTTCTCTTGTAAATAAACCTTTTATTAACCTTTTGTGTGTGTGTGTAGTAGAGTATTCATAAGTCCCTTTAAAGCGCACGGGTGAAGACCCACAGCCAGGAACCCGTTTTAATATCGGGGTTGCTGTATAACACAATCTCCGCCTCCCTTTACCATCTGAAGGAAACCAGGACTAGCATTAACAATGTTGTACTTGGTCTTGGGATGTTTGTTTTTCCTAGTGGAATGAGTTACTTCCCCTTGGTTGTCCTTATCTCTGAAGCCTCCCCAAATTCTTCAGAGGTCCCCTCCTGCACTGTCCCTGAAACTGCCTAATAACCCTAGCTTGCCCTGTCTCAGAGGGACAGTCACTTTTCCAGTGATCCTGGATGTTGCAGATGGGGCGCGGTCCTGGCGGAGGGTGGGGGGTTGGGGCATTGTCTGGACCAGTGTCCTTTTTGGCCACATTTGAAGCAGGCTCCCGGCAGCGGTCGGTTGGGGCCCATAGTTGTCATCTGTCGGGCAGCAGGTGCTGCGGTCTTTGGAGGAGCAGGGCCTGGCGCTCTTAAGGCAGCTACTAGGGCCTGAGCTTGAAGCTCTGCCTTCTGGCGGCTACAGAGTTCCCTCTCTGCCCTGTCCTGTTCCTCCTGGTTGTTAAATACTGTAAAGGCCATATTCAGCAGATCCTAGATAGGGATTTGAGGACCGTCATCAGCCTTCTTAAGCTGTTTATCAATGTCTGTGGCTGACTGAGATATAAAATGGGTAGCCAGAACTGTGGCACCTCCAGGCAAGTCAGGGTCAAGCCTGGTATAGTGCTGGAGCGCCTCCGTCAGGCAGCGGCTAAGGAGGGCAGCAGGGTTTTTTGAGGCCCACTGGGTAATCTTTGTGAGCTTAGTAAAGCATACAGGTTTAGGCGCTGCCGCTGCCGCTGCCGGTTGGAGACCAGCTAGGAGAGAGGTAATAAAACGGTCTA